AAACGTGTGAGGGGTGGGCCGAAATGAATGGCGGGGACGCATGCGGACTGTGCCGCGGGGACCTTTGGCGGAGCTCCTATGGGGCCACGAAACGTGTGAGAAGTGTGCCGAAATCAATGGCGGGGACGCGTGCGGACTGTGCCACAGGGACCTTCGGCGGAGCTCCTATGGGGCCACGAAACGTGTGAGGGGTAGGCCGAAATTAGTGGCGGGGACACATGCGGACTGTGCCACGGGGACTGTCGGCGGAGCTCCTATGGGGCCATGAAACGTGCGAGGGGTGTGCCGAAATCAACGGCGGGGACGCATGCGGACTGTGCCACTAGGACCTTCGGCGGAGCTCCTGTGGGGGCACGAAACGTGTGAGGGGTGGGCCGAAATGAATGGCGGGGACGCATTCGGACTGTGCCACTGGGACCTATGGGGCCACGAAACGCTGTACTGGGTGAGGGAGACCCGTGCGGACTGCGCCACGGGGACCTTCCGTGGGAGTCCATATGGGGCCACGTAGCGCTGTACTGGGTGAGGGAGACCCATGCTGACTGCGCCACGGGGGCCTCCGGCGGAGCTCCTATGGGGCCACGAAGCGCTGTACTGGGTGGGGGAAACGCATGCGGACTGCGCCACGGGGACCTTCGGTGGGGCTCCATATGGGACCACGAAACGCTGTACTGGATGAGGGGGACCCATGCGGACTGCGCCACGGGGACATTCGGCGGAGCCCCTATGGGGCCACGGAACGCTGTACTGGGTGGGGGAGACGCATGCGGATTGCGCCACGGGGACCTTCGGTGGAGCTCCCTATGGGGCAACGAAACGTGTGACGATGCTGATGATGCCGATGTTGATTCTGATGATGATGATGATGATGACGACGACGACGATGATGACGATGATGATGGTGATGACGATGATGATGAAAGGAGGGGAGGAGGGAGGAGGGAGGAACGCGGGGACCGTCTCTTCAAAACGAAGGCCCAACAACACAGGCTGGTTTGGAAAAGCTGAAATCTGAATGCGACGATGCCGAAAAAAACGACGGCTGCCGGCCATCACTGCAGCAGCGCGGCCACTTCTACATGCGCGCCCCTCCGCGCGATACGAACTGTGGCCGCGATGGGCGCCGGGTGGCCAGCCTACGGGTGCCGACCCAGACGACACCGCTGGAGTTCACCGGGAGGCATGAAACAGACACGACTGGATCCGCGTGCGGCGCGCGCAAATCCACGCGCCCAACGCACGCGCGGAGGGCCGAAATACCAAGCCACACGAGGACCAGGCGCTGGAAAGGCATGCGGCCAAAGGTGTCCGTCCGCCATTCGCCAGGGCGGCGGCCACGTCGTGCCCATCCAACTCCCTGGCCGCTCTAGCAGCTGCGCTGCACGCAAGTATGCCCGCCGCTAGGGGACGTGGCGCTTGTCACCTGCCCAAGTCGCAGGGGAGACGCTGTGGATATCGCTGCGGCAACTCACAAGTAGGGAGAAGGTGTAATGACCCGAGTGGGACGGGACCCCAAGCGAAAGAGGCTGCGTTCTCTTTTCTGTTGCGTGCGCCCGGGCACGGCGTTCCCGGCGCGCCGCGGTGACGGAACGCGGCGGCAGCGCAGCGGTGGAGAGAGAGCGACGAGGCAGAAGGAGAAGCTGAAATATTCAATACAAACACACACGCCCTTGGCCCAAACTGGTGCCCACAACAGGCGTCGCGTGACCGCTGCCTTGCACGAGGGGGCTCTCTGGGGCTGCAGACCCTGCGGGGCCAATGGCCGGCGGCTCGAAGATCCGCCTCCCTGGGGCACCTCGCATCCAGAGCTCGGCCACAGGCACCACGGTCAGAACTCGAGGAGAAGACCAGTCATTGTGGCGCCGCCGCCGCCGCCTCCTCCTTCTCCTCCACCTCCTCCTCCTCCTCCTCTTCCACCTCCTCCTCCTCCTCCTCTTCCTCCTCCTCCTCCTCTCCTCCTCCTCCTCCTCCTCCTCCTCCTCCTCCTCCTCCTCCTCCTCCTCCTCCTCCTCCTTTTCCTCCTCCTCCTCCTCCTCCTCCTTTTCCTCCTCCTCCCTCCTCTTCCTCGTCCTCCTCCTCCTCCTCCTCCTCTTCCTCCTCCTACTCCTCCTCCTCCTCTCCTCCTCCTCCTCCTCATCCTCCTCCTCTTCCTCCCTTCCTCCTCCTCCTCCTCCTCCTCCTCCTCCTCCTCCTCCTCCTCCTCCTTTTCCTCCTCCTCCTCCTCCTCCTCCTCCTCCTCGTCCTCCTCCTCCTCCTTCTCCTCCTCCTCCTCTTCCTCCTCCTCCTCCGCCAGGCGCGCGCCCTCCGCCGCCCGTGCTATCCAGCAGGCGTTGGGCACGGGCGCGGAGTCCTGAGCCTCGCGAGCGGTCCGAGCGGCGCCTGCTCTCCGACGAGCTGGACCGCATGGAAATGCTGCTGCGCCGGCTGCCGTCGGGTCCATGCGGTGTTGCTCGGGTTGCCGTTCAGCGGCGCGGCTCCGAGCGCCAGCAGCCTCGGCCATGGCGTTCCTCTTTCTGGGAAGCGTGTCGGGAAACAGCGGCTTACCCGCGGGCGCGGGAGGCGGCCGCGCTTTGGGCGGACCAAGGGTCGCGAGAGGGATCGTGGTCTGGCCGCGGACTAGCGGTATCCGTGTTCTGTCACGGGCAAAAAGCATCTTGAGCCAAAATGGCTACGGACAGAGGAAGAAGACGAGGAGGAGGAAGACCCCAAAGTCCTTCGCTTTGTCTCCGCCTCGCTCACGACGGCCCATGGTATCCAGATGACCAGCCACAGCGTGCCAGTGAGTGAGAACGCCCAGGTGGCGGCCGAGTAGAGCACCTTGCGTAAGCAGGGAGGGGAGGCAAGCAGAAGGAGAAGGATGTGGGGAAAGAGGAAGAGGGGTTCCTCTTCCTCCTACTCCTCCTCCTCCTCAGCAGCAGCAGCATAAGCATCTGCACCAGCAGCTGCATCTTAATACTAGTCGGCATCATCATCATCATCATCATCAGCATCAGCATCATCATCATCATCATCATCATCATCATCATCATCATCATCATCATCATCATCATCATCAGCATCATCATCATCATCATCATCATCATCATCATCATCATCATCATCATCATCGTCGTCGTCATCGTTATCATCATCAGCATCATCAGCATCATCAGCATCATCATCATCATCGTCATCATCATCATCAGCATCATCAGCAGCATCATCAGCTTCAGCATCAGCGTCATCAAAAGCAGCAGCAGCATCACCATCACCATCATCAGCAGCAGCAGCAACAATATCACCACCACCACCATCACCATCATCAGCATCAACATCATCCTCATCAGCGTCAGCAGCGTCAGCATCACCATCATCAGCGTCAGCATCATCAGCATCATCATCATCAGCATCATCATCCGCATCATCATTGTCATCACCATCATCAGCATCGTCATAAGCGTTATCAACATCGGCATCACCACCAGTACCAGTATCATTATCGGCAACCGCATCAGGATCAGTACGGTACCATCGTCATCATTGTCAACAACATCATCATCAACAGCAGCAGAATTATCATCACCCTCGGTATAATCACCATCATCGACATCGTTACCATCAGCATCATCATCATCAGCAGCTGCATCATCAGCATGCTCACAATTAGCAGTGTCCTCGCCATCATCCTCGCCAATTGCAGCATCATCGACATCGGCATCACAATCAACATCACCATCACCATCCTCAACAGCATCGTCGCCAGTACAATTATCATCATCGACATCGGCATCATCATCATCATCAGCATCGGCAATGCCATAAGCATAGTCATCATGATCAGCATCATCAGCAGCAGCTTCATCAGCAGGGGCAAGATCATCCTCATCAGCATCATCATAATCACTGGCATCATCAGCATCAACACCCCATCATCATCAGCCACATCACCATCAACAGCATCATCAGCATCATCAGCATCATCAGCATCTTCATCATCATCATCGTCACCATCCTCGTCATCATCACCTTCATCATCACCACCGCCATCAGCAGCATCGGTGTTATGCCGATGGTAAGCGTAATCGCCGTCATCGTCACCAGCACCACTGCACCATGTGCCATCATCAACAACTCCACGATCCCTCCGCAACCTCCCACCCGTTATTCCACCTCCCACTTTTCACTCGAGTTCCCCCCCCCGCGCGCACGCCCCCACGCCCAAAAGCACAGGATGAGGAGGAGGAGGAGGAGGAGGAGGAGGAGGAAGTGCAGCAGTAGCGGCAGGAGCAGGAGGAGGCGAGGAGGGGGAGGAAAGCGGGGGGAACTGGCAAGAGGAGGAGAGGAGGACCACGAGGAGGAGCTGGAGAACAACGACGTCGACAAGGAGTGAAGAGGACAAGGGTGACGAGCAGGAGGAGGAGGAGAAGGAGGAGGAAGACGACGACGACGACGACGAAGACGACAACGACGAGGGAAAGGGGGCGGAGGGAAGAGAAACAAAAAGGGAGTGGGAAAGAGCAGAAGAAGGAGTGAGGATGATACGAAAGGGGGCGCAAAGAGGAAGCGGGGGAAGACAGAGTAGATGAACGCACGGATGAGGAGGGGAATGCGAGGAGGAAGAGGCGGAGCGTAACCAGGGGGGTACACGTCACTCCACACTACACCACGCTAGCGCTTTGGTCTGCTTTGTGCAGACCCCGTGATCGCGGCATATCGTAATCCACAAAAAGGCCTGAGAAATGGCTGCACATCGAGGAGCCCTCGGGGGTGCTCTCGAAATCTGGACGAGAGGGCTCAGCGGGCCGGGACACTATAGACTGCGAGACCCTAAGAGGCGCGGGGGCGAACTCAGGATTACAGCGGCCCTCCAACGGAGGACAGAAAGGCCCGAGCTGCGAAGGACGAGGGGGGGGAGGGCTCAGCAAACAATCCTGAAGTGCACGGAAAATCCGCATTCGGGGGGGAGCAAGGGGGCTCGACCAGGGAGGGAAGCGACAGAGGAGGGGAACAAGACAGAGACTGGGCAGATGCGAAGGCAGAGGCAGGCTCACGATTTTCAGCGCCCGACCGAGGCCTGCCTCCCGACGACGACCACGCCCTCCCCGACGCCGAGGAGCACACTCGCGAGGAAGACAAGGTAGCCCTCTGAGAAAACGAGGATGTCGAGGAAGACGAAGAGGCCCTCCGCGAGGACGACGAGGTCGAGCACGAACTGACCACATCTGCGGTCTCCCTCTGATCGCCACGAGTCTGATCCGCCTCCTGCGCCCCATCCGTGTGATTCTCTGACTCCGATGAGGAGGACGAGACTCGGCCCCGAGCATCACGAGCCAGGCGGACCGTCTCGAACAGGGCGGAGCGACGGAGCAGCTGCCGTTGGCGTCGCTGGAGCGGGAGACGAACAGCAAGCCGCGTGGCCTCGACCAGCTCGAGCGCCTGCTCATATGAGGCAACACCCTGGACCCTGTGTGCGAGGAGTCGACAATGATAGTATTGGGCCACAACGAAGGTCAGAGCTCCGCCTTCGAGCCCAAGACGGAAGTCGGGCAGGCATGGCAGGTCCATGCGCAGGGCCAGAGACGCGAAGCGCATGTTCCTCGCACGCTCCACGATGCAGTGCCCAATCGAATCCCGCCCACGGGGACAGCCATAAACACATGGGGCACTTCGCTGCATCCGACGAATAGTGACCCATCCGCCCAGGTACGTCTTGAGCGCAATCGTCGCCCAAGCCCGAGGGGCGTTCATGAGACACTGACGAAGAGCACTCTGGTCGCGAAGCTCGAGCTGGAAGTGGCGGCGCAGTCGGCGCACGATCAGCTCACCGGTGCATTCGGGGAAGATGGCTTGGGCGAAGATGGCACGGAAGATGGACTGCCACTCGATGCGCCCGAAAACCCGATGGTCGGCAGGGACACGACGAGCGCGATCCGCAGCGCGCGACAGGCATGTAGGCAACGGCGTGGCCCCGAAGATGTCCAGGAGCACGGGAGAGGGCTCGCAGGCGCCACAGTCGAACAACACTCGAGCGGCGACCCCTCCAGCGGCCAGATGACGGCCACCAGGAAATCCAGCAGCTGCCGACCCCAGCGCCACCGCGAAAGGTGGGGCAGCCCAGAAGGGGGGCGCCAGCAGCGCGGAGCACCACAGATCCATCGCGCCGAAGTCCTGGATCTGCGCACGCAGGAAGTTGAGGCCTTCCCGCCAGGCGGAGCATGTCACCAGTGCCGAGCGCATCAACGCCGCAACTGCCGCAACATACATGGAGTCGAAACTAGGGCCGTTCCAGCTCGCCAGCGCGAAGCAGCCAGCCGCGCGGAGCATGGGGCATGGCGCCCGCAAGAGGCGAGCAATGAGCGCACGCTGACTCTGAGCCCCACGCCACCCCAGCGGCGCCAGCTGGGCCACGTAGGAGAGGACAGGGAGGGCGCGCGTCCGATAGAGCTCCTCCAACATCCCGAGCGGCGCGCCCTGCCGGCCGATCTCCGTCGCGCGGAACACGTGCTTCGCCCGGGGGGCGCGCCGCTGATCAGCGCGCGAAGCGCCAGGCCGACCTGGAAGCCCAAGTACGTAACCGATGAAGCGAAGGTGAAGTCGGCCCAGCTAGCGCCAGCCGCCAGCAGCGCAGCGCGCAGGCGACTAATAGCCACACTGTTGCCAGGGTCGCATAGAGGGACCACAATGCACTTCTTGTGTTTGAATCGTAAATGGGCAAACTTACTAGCGAGCCGAAAGGCACGGGGAAATCTCGGGAAGGCGCGAGGATGATAAACCACTGCCCCAAGATCGTCAGCACAGAACCGAGAGATACCCCGAATTTTCCCTTGGAGGACGAGGCTTCGCTTGATGTCCAGAACGAATGGGTTGGAGGCCACGATGTACAGAGAACCGCTGAGGGGGCAGCCCTCTAGCACTCCCGACGACATGTAGCACAGGAGCGACAGGGGCGATCCGCCGTAGTAGCAGGGGGAACAGTGATACAATACCTTAACCACCGCTGTCACAGGCGGGGGAAGGCGAAGCTTCTCGACGGCCATCTGCAGCCAACCTTGACTAACCGAGGGGAAGGCCTGCTCGAAATCGAAGGCCATCAACGCAGGTGAGGTCAGCATGGAACCTTGTGTACGAACACTGGCAACCCGAGGGTGAACATCCGGATCCACGACGTTGTTCAGGAAGTTCCGATGGCGGATAAAACCATTGTGCGAGGAAGCCCCAATCGCACCAATAACAGGGTGTAGACAGTGGTTGATCACCCCGCAGATCGTCTTGTTAGCCGCGTTCTTCAAACCTAGCGAACGGGTCTCAGAAGCTGCCTTTGGGAGGCCCTGCAGGTCGCCCTCATTGGGGCCCGCTTTGAGAGGCTCGGGGGTGAACACCGCAAGCATGGCCGAGAAGGAGTCCATCAAGTTGCCCCGGATGATCCACTGGAGAACTTCGAAAAGCACCAAAGGCTCTAGCACAGTACGCCAGGCCGCACAGTGGAAGCCATCAGGACCAGGGGCCGCCCAAGAAGCCTTAGCCAGGAAGCGCTCCACGTCACGCAGCTCGGGGGGGCCTCAAGTCGGCGAAGTCCTGGGCACTCGTGAACCTCTCGAGATAACGTTGAGCACCAATAGGGACCAGATGGGAGCGACCAAAGATGGGGGGGGCCCAGTAGGACGAGAGGGCACGATCAATCTCCCCATCACCCGCCGCAAGGAGCGCGGCGCCAACTTCCCCTGAAGAAAACGCAGCGGATTGAACCCGGGGTTGAACACCACGGGGCCCGACACGGGCCTGATCGACAACCGAGGCCGCCAGAAACTTCCTCCTCCGAAGTGGGTTCCAGAGCTGAGAGGATCGCTTCAGCGCTCGCTTCTGGCCAAGAAGGCGCCGACGACGACCAGGGGCCGGTTCCTCCGCTGCTGCTGCTTCTAGTGCCCGACGACGGGAAGTGGCCTCTTGACGTTGAAGATCACCGCGGGGGGCCTGGAAAGCACTGGGGTCCGAGAGAACCACGCGATACCCCTGAATGGAAACGATCTCCCGAGCCCACTGGAACTGGAACGTGATCACCCTGGCCAGCTCAACGTCTCGGCGCCAAACACAGCGCGCAACACTTCCACAGATCATCGCGCGAGATGCGGTGGAGGTGGGAGCAACGCGGAGCGCAATGTCACGAACAAGCATCCCCGCTGCCTGGCGCGCACGGGCGGCCATGAGGGGCATGCGCCGGGGGTCAGATCTCAACGAGGGTAGATCAATCAGCCTTTCCAATTCGGGGGCCATCATGGGGCACAGCCGACCAGTGTAGACCCACTTTGGGAGAGGACGCGGACGAGACGGAGAGGATGGGCTGCGCAACCCCCACGCCACCACGAGAGCGGCATGGTCACCAAGGCCCCTGTAGAATCCCTCTTGCGGCTCACATGCACACCGAGCAGATTGATGGGTCTGGCAGAGGAGCCACGGAGGAGCCGGAGAGTAACAACGGTCAATTTCTGTCGACGCACCAGAGCTGGCACCCCAGCGCGAGAAACCCTCGCCGACGAGCCCCCTCATCTTCCTGAAGAGTGCCCGCCACAGGCGGTCACCAGGGCGGCCCGCGCGTGTGGCGGAGGCCCTTGACGACAAAGCGCTGCACCCGCGTGGGTGCAGCATGAGCCACAGATGTCGCGACCACTTCCCTGCCACTTGCAGTCAGGTTCTCCCGCCTGACCAGCCCCACCGCGCATTGGACCATCACGATGGCACGCAGAGGCCGAGGGCGAGCCCGCCCCGAACGAAATGCGCTCGGTGCCCTCATCCGCAATGTTGAAGTCACCAGCGACCACAACCAAATTGGACATCGGCTGCTGACGGGCACATGTACGATGCTGAAGAAGTCGAGCACGAACTCGCTGGAGTTGGTCAGCGGAGATCCCGAAGTTGTGGATGCTCCTATGGAACCACGTGAAGCCATTGGAATGAAAAGTAATCGTCGGTACCAGAACTCGCCCAGGAATCAAAACTTCCGATGAGACATCCAGGGCACTGACAGACGGCACTAGCGCAAGCACACCGCCAGCGCGAGGGACCCCACTGTCACTCAGAAAGGCACGGTGTGAAACCCGAAAACGTTAGAGAGCTTCTTCGACTTGAGCTTGATCGCCATGCACCTCCTGAACTGCAACAACCGTGGACGGCGAGGCCAGCTGGGCAAGATGCCGCATGCGGGCAGACAGCTTAATGCCATCGAAGTGCAGCAGCGACGAGGCGTTCCACGAGGCGATGCGGAGCTGGTCGCCGCCGAACAGCACGTTACCCACACCACGAGGTCTCCCTGTAGCAGAAGATCCGCTGCACCAGGGAAGTGGCCTCCTCCCGCGTGTGCTGCGAGTCTACCAGGGCGACAAGATTCCACTCGACCTTGGGGATGCGGGAGCCCGAATCAACGTGGACCTGCGCCAGACGACTATTCTCGCGATCGGCGAAGGTGTGGAGTCCCCAATGGTCAAGGATACCTTTTGCGCAGCTTCTCGAGCGCCATCTCAATGGCAACCTCCTTGCGCTTCTTATCCACGGATACGTAGATCGCGACCGCAGAGGGACCGACCACAGCTGAGAACACCCGCCAGCAGCCAGCTCCTGTGCGAAGCTGCAGCTGCGCCTGGCGGCGCCTGCTCTCGCGAGTCGCGGGTAAGGCGCCAAGGAAGGAGACCACGCACTGCTTGACCATGTCATCGCCGAGGAGCTCGGCGTGCCCCCCCCCCAGCTGGAGGTTGGCCGCACCCAGCCACTCCTTGAGCGCGTCAGCGACGGACGCCTTGGGAATGGCATTGACGCGCCGAATATGAAAGATGGTAGGGTCGGTAGGGCGGCCCCAATCACCAGAAATGATGGGCCTGACGAGGCTTTGCACGTGCCAGGCCGAGCCCTTTCTCGAGGTGCAGCAATCGGTGGTTGAGCTCCGCGAACTGGTCGCCCACCGTCGCGATATTGGCGTCCTGGCTCGACAAGTCGTCACGGAGCCGCCTGATCTATTCATTGAACTGTTCCTCGAACTTGCAAGTGGGAGGAGCGGTAGCCTGCGCCAGCGCTTCAGGAAGACGAGTGTACAGCGCAGCCATGGCGGCTTGGGTGAACTCCTCGATGGCCGACTTCTTGAAGTCCTCATATGAGGGTACGCCACGGGCATTGGCTTGTGCCCACGGATCAGGGATGCCGCCACTGGCAGGGCTGGTCGCCCAGAGGGGTTGCTGCGGGGGCGTAGGCCACGGAGCGGGACCAGGACGTGCCAGCCCACTTGGTGCAGCACGAGCCACTTCCAAAGCCGATGGGGCGGCGCCAGGCGCGCGGCCGCTGGCAGCCGACAGCGCGGCGGAGCGGTCCGCCAGCTCCGCGACTTGGAGGAGCTGGCTGTCCGAGAAGGTGGGCGGGATGTCGAGGTCCCTCTCGCCCTCCGAGCGCGGCGTGTGGATGCCGAAGTGGGCAGTGCTGGCGGCCGACGCCTCGAAGCCAGTGGGAGCGTCTCCCCTTGCACGGCCGCCGTCTCCCTCAGGACCTCCGTCACGGGGGTCACCGCGAGCCCGGCTTCGGTAGCGGCGGGTGGCAGCAGATGATGAACCTCCTGCGCTGCGAGGGGAGCGGCGCCGATGATCGTGGGGACGGTCACGATCTCGATCCCTGTCACGGTCACGAACGCGGCGATAAGAGACAGAAGCCAGCGCAGGAGGCGATGGCGAGCGAGAGATCGACGACTCGACCGTGTGCTCCTTCCTCGACTTGCCATTGCGCTTGCTTCCACCCATATGAGAGAAGACGGCGAGACTGGATCTGCTGGCGGGAGCCCAACCCCACCGGTGAAGGCTTGGAAATGGTCGGCGACTAGCCGCGAACCAGCGGTATCCACGTGACCGCTGGGCGACATGGAGCCTTGAGCCAAAATGGCTACGGACGAGGAGGAGGAGGAGGAGGAGGAGGAGGAGGAGGAGGAGGAGGGAGGAGGAGACAGGGCAAGAGGTAAAAGTGTTGGAGTGCAAGTCTTCAAATCAACCGACGGGGAGGAAAGGAGAAAGGGAAGGAGGAGGAGGAGGAAGAGACAAGGGTGAGGAATAGAGGAGGGAGAGGAAAAGGAGAGGATGGGGGGAGGAGGACGCTGGTAGAGAGGAGAAGGAGAATGAGAAGGAGGGGGGCGAGAACAAATGCGAAAAGGAGGGATAAGGCGAAGAGGAGGGATCAGGAGGAACGGGACTGAGGACGCGGTGGGGGGGGCAGACAGCAGGGGGAGGTGCTTCAATACAACGAACTACCAGGAGCCACGTTTTCGGGCCAACAAGGATGCCTCACAGTGCCCCAGGACCGAGGAGGAGGGGCGGGAGGGGGAGGAGGAAGAAGAAGGGGCTGATGAGGAGGGCGAAGGTGAGGAGACAAAAGGGCGCGTGCCATTCTCAGCACGACTGCCACCACCGAATCGCATGACGACCACATGGGGTGGACCCTCCAGTTTGGGGCGGGATCCACGCTGCTGGGCAAGCAGCTGCCAACCACTTCACGAACTGTCCCAGCCGGGCGGTCGTGTTACCAACCCTGCAAATCGATAATCGTCCAACATTTCTGAATCGATGACCGCCGCAAGAGTAAAACTGGTCGTGGGAGTGGCGTGGGCGTCAGGGTGCGAGAGGGAGACGGGAGGAGGAAGATGAATGGAAATGGGAGGGAAAAGAAGAGGGAAATGGGAGGAGGGAGAAGGGAGGAGGACACGGCAAGAGGAAGATGGGAAAAAAGGAGATGGGAGGAGGGAGATGGGAGAGAGAGAGAGAGAGAGAGATATACATATATATATATATAGATGGGAGGAGGGAGATGGGAGGAGGGAGATGAGAGAGAGATGCGAGGAGGGAGATGGGAGGAGGGAGACGGGAGGAGGGAGATGGGAGGGAGTCTGGAAATAAGAAAGTAGATCGACAGATGCTTGCGGCTGGCCGAGGGCGCAGACAGCGGCGAAACGGACGCGGGCAGGGAGAAAGAGAAAGAGGCCCGCCTTCTGGTCCTCCTCTGACCTATGGGCGGCCATGCCAGGTTCTCTCCCTCGCCGTCTTCCTCCTCCTCCTCCTCCTCCTTCTCCTCCTTCTCCTCCTTCTCATCCTCCTCATCACCATGTCATCATCAACATCAGCAACATCATCATCCTCATCCTCATCCTCATCCTCATCCTCATCATCATCATCATCATCATCATCATCAGCATCAGCATCAGCATCAGCATCAGCATCATCATCATCATCATCATCATCATCATCAGCATCATCATCATCATCATTATCATCATCATCATCATCATCATCATCATCATCATCATCATCATCATCATAGTCATAGTCATAGTCATCATCATCAGCAGCACCATCATCACCAACAGCATCAGTATTATCGTCATCATCATCATCATCATCATCATCATCATCATCAGCATCAGCATCAGCATCAGCATCATCATCATCATCATCAGCAGCAGCAGCAGCACCAGAATCATCAGTATCATCATCAACAGCAGCAGCATCAGCAGCAGCAACCGCCAGCGCGCCCTCATGCGCCCTGCCGTCAAACGGCAGACATAGCAACCAGGGAGGAAGGGTGGATGTCCCCGCCTCTCTCTTGTGCCCCTCAAGCTGAGGCGGGCACAGCGGCCATGACGACGTCTAAGTGCGCCGCCAACATCCTGGCGCTGGCGTGCGCGCGCAGCTGCTGCCTCATCGCGCGGAGGCATTTTCCTCGTATATGTACGCCGTGGCGCCCTCGAGCTCCAGCTCGATCGCATCCGGGCCCGGCAGCAGCACGCATGCTCGATCCAGGCCCCATTGAAGATCGAGGCTGAGTTCGGCGACGACTGCGCCGATCACGAAGGGGCCAATAAGTCTGTGGGGGGGGGGGATACACCACCTCGCCCGTCCCCGACAGCAAGCTAGCCTGCTGGCCGCTGGGTCGCGGGGTTGATGCGCTGGCACGGCACGGGCGGGCTTTTTTTAGGCCACAGGTGCTGCAGTTCATGCGCGGCCCCTGGGGTCGGCCAGCAGCCGGCGGCGGCCTGAGCCTCCATGGAGCGCGCGTGCCGCGCGCAGATCCACTCGAAGCGTTCGAAAGGCAGACTGCTGCTGCGGGGGAGGAGCCGCGGCGTGAGCCGGGGCTGCACTCGGCACCAAGGTCCCCGCTGGCTGGCCCCAGCCATCCTGCCAAGGAGGGCCAGCAGCAGCGGCGGCGGCCGAAATCGGGAAGAGGCTCGCTGCCACGGCATCCCCGGAGACCTACACGACCACGGTGGCGCTGGCCAGGGGGGAGCCAACTGGGCATCCGCACCAGGGCCTGGCCAGGCCCACCTTCACTGGGCCCCAGGGCCGACGCCTGTCCTGCCCCGTCCTGGCCCGGCCAGGGCGGCGCACGGGCCGGCCTCGGCCTCGGGCTCCAGACGAGGGACCTGCTGCAGCGCATCGGCGGTCAGCGAAATCGCGGGTGCAACTGCGGCAGCCGATGCTGCCGACGCACCTCCAGCGGCAGCGGCTGCCTGGGGCTTCGGCCGCGGGCACGCTGCCTTGTCATGACCCGTGGCCCCGCAGTTGAAGCACTTGCCTTCGCTCACCTCGAGCTCCCTGTGGTGGCGAATGCAAGTCCCGCCGAATTTGCACCCAGCGGCGCTGTCGAGGAACCGGCACGCCCCCTTGCCCCCTGTCGTTGCTTTTGCAGTGGGCTTCGCATTAGCCTTCACCTTTGCCTTGGCGCGAGCGTCGGGCTTGCCGCCCTAGGCGTCGAGCATTCCCTGCTTGTCCCCGCCTTTGGCGTTGTTCGCCTCCCGCGCCGCCGCCAACGCCTGCACGCCTTTCCCCTAGGGCGCGTCGCAGAGCTCACGAGCCTCGGCAGCGAGGAGCCGCCAGAACTCTTCCACTTGATACTGCGAACACTGACTGGCGCCCGAAATGCCGCGCTGCATCTTCCACACGAACATCCTGCACTGGAAACTCGCGTCGGCCATGCCCTTGGCGATGCCTCGAAGCGTCGCCAGCTGCGCGACAGGACCCAGCGCAGCCATGTCGAGACGCTGCTATCGAGCGAGCGAGAGCTTGCACTGACCGGAAGCTGATTTTGAGGGAGGTGGAACGGCGCGATAACACGGCCGCCGCCCTGTCGCGAGGGTGCCAGGGCTGGCCTCCACCATGATGCTGAAGAGGAGCTCGGTCACCGAAGTCTGTTCGGTGGCCAGCGCGACGCTCTGCATCTGCTCGGGGACCGAGACCAACAGGAGCGCGCGCAAGCGCAGCTCGATGCCGAGGCTCTGGCGGTCGGCCCCGAACCACTCGGCGCTCGGCTTCACGAGCGGGCGCTCGAGCGGGCCGCGGCAGACGTAGTACTCAAACGCCTTCCTTGCCGCGCATTCCGACCCCGGCCAAAACCAGTCGATGAGGGGATCCCACGCCCCGATCCTCATGGCAGCTCGCTGCACCCACTCCTCGAAGGTGTGCGCCTTCTTACACGAGCGGCGAACACCAAGTTCGGCACGTCGCCGTCCTTCAGCTTCGCTAGCACCGCCTCCAAGCAAAACGCAGTTCCTCGGTGCTGCTCGTCGGCCCCTGCATTGGGCCCCGGGCCGATCGGAGGCAGCCCAGGCGGCAGCCCGCCGGGCTGCAGCGGGGGCAGATGCATGCCGCGAGCGCTGGCTGCCGCCTCACAGCCAGGCACCTGAACTCCGCCAAATGTGACTGGTGCTTGGTCCGCGGCCGACGCTGCAACCGCCTGGTCGGCGTCGCACGCGGGCTCCCCGAGCCCAGCGACGGGCGGAGCCACTTCCTCGGCCTCGCCGTACTCGCTGCTCGTCGCCTAGGCGTGCGGCGCACGAGGCATCGATGGCGGTGGAGCGCCCTTCCACGCCACTCGCCCACAAGCTGAGGGCTGTGCACTGGCCTCTGCTCCGCCGCTCGCCTGCGAGGGCGGCGTGCCTGGGTCTGGACGGTCTCCGTACACTGGGGTCGGACATCCCGGCGTTGATGCCCCACCTTGTACTGGGACTGCTGCTGCCGATGCACGGTCGGCGAGCCGCTCTGCCTCCAGCTGCTCACTCCTGCTGATGAGGCGCTGCAGCTCCATGCGCAGCTTTCGCAGCTCCGCCAGCTGCAAAGTCCACAGCAACGCCTGGCGGTCGCTGCTGGTCCTGGCTCATGTCGGGCGCGTCCGCCCTGCCAGTGCTCTCAACAGCTGCTGCGGGCGACTGGTCTGGAAAGTGCCGCTGAGCAGGCAGAGGCATCATCGTGCCCGCCGCCAACGTCTGGAGCGCTCCCGCGGCAGCACCAACAGCCAGGCGATTCATCCCCGTCGCTGCGGTGCCGAGGGTGGCACCCACTGCATGGCCAGCCGTCTGCGCACCGAACGCAACGCTGCGGCCAACCTGTCCTGCGAGGCCGCTGGACCAGGCGGCCTGCCGACGACCGTATGCGACATCGCGTTCCGCGAAGCAGGCGAAGCAGACTGCATCCCCCTGCCAAGGCTGCACACAATGGCTGTGGACGTCGGCGAGGCAGATGTCGCACACCACCGAAGGGCCCACCATGAAGTCCGAGCATGCCCTGCACCGCGCGCGCATGAACGCAGCGGGCGGCGCCAGCGGCGCTGCTGGGAATCCATGTGCCAGCGAAGCTCCACACGCAGAGTGGTAGAATCCCTCGCTGGGGCTCATAACCCTTGAAAAGGCTCTACCGTCCTTTGGCGTCATCCGTGGAATTATTCATTCGATTCCGAGTCTGGATCGACCTCAGGAGAGCCAGCAACGGCCCTGAGGTGGGCCGCGAGTTCGCCCTGGGAGGCTGGGAGAGCCTGAATAGGCCCCACTGGGAGCGCGGTGCCACGCCGACGACGGTCCTGAGGAGATAGTCGGCTGTCTCAGCCAACCGCACCTCCAAGGACCAATTACGGGACGCTCCGCTGCGGCCTCTCCGGGAGGGTTGGCCGCCGCGAGCCTCCATGCGGGAAGAGGTAATATGTTTCCTCCACCGCGCGCTTGAGCCAAAATCGGCAACACAAGAAAATACTGGGGCCAGTCCGCATGCAAGTGTAGTATCGCGCAGCATTTGGATTGTCCCCCCTCCCTTCCAGGTAAGCCTCCGCGACAACATTCGGTATCGTCCACTCAAAAGTAACTTTACTGGAGGCCTCTCCGAAAACGTGATTCTGGTAGGCTCCAAGATGTGCCCAAAAACCTTTTTCTGGGAACGTTTGGGATTCCATAAACAAACGATTGCGTTTGCCAACCCATATCATCCCCCGAAACTGGTTCGACGCAAGCTGTGGAAACCCCAGCCTGGGGCGAAAAAAACCTAGCACTCATTACCAGCTCAACGCGTCTAGGCTGTTAGACCTGAGGCTGTGGCAATCGTGGCCAAAATGCGGGGGACCAATCTTGCTCCCCCTGCTCATCGTACTGCTCTTTACGATGATAGGCGCGCTGCGCTTCCTGACCCACGAACCGTTCCTGAGGGGGTCGCCCTAGCGAACAAGGTCGGCAGCATCAGCCATAAGGCCTTCGCAAGACAGAGAGAAAGAGAGATAATGATATATATATATATATGCATCTATATTTATATATAAATAAATAAATAAATAGATGTAGGAAGAGACAGAGAGAGGAAAATGAACAAATGTATCTTGATGGTTTTAGTGTGTTTGCAACGTGGTCCCCAAACACGGTGTTTCTAGCAACACATGCTGTGCAATCTACGCCGCTTGTTCGCACTGACTTGTCAGCTCCACTGCTCGCGTAAACGTGCCACCCACCGACCCGCAACTTGGTTTCCAAAACCCATGCGGCGGCGATTGCGATGACTGTTTGGCGCTAGCTGGCGCGTCGCTGCGGTTGCACTGGCGCGCGCTGGCCCGCGCGTAGAGCGGTTAGCTAGTCTGGCGCGACCGACGCGGCCGCGGTGGCGCTGACTGTGCACTTCCCAACGCATCTCGCAGGCCGCGACGGCACGCGGGCAGTTCACTGCGAGTCGGTGACTCGGGCGGGCGCGGTATCATGGCGACGTCGACAACGGCAGACACGATAATAGCAATGCTGGTGACGACAACGACAGTGACGACGGCAAAGCCAATGACGGCGCCGATATTGATCACGCTGATGACGATGATGGCGTCCACACGTCGCCGATCAAGGTACTATTTGAAAAGATTCCGACATGCGCGCGCGGCCGACAGGCGCGAGTGGCCCGCATGGCATTATGTGACAGGGATCGCGCCCCCGGCCCCCCCCCAAAGCACGTGCGCACGGGCGTTTGAATGAATTCGACATGCGCGCGCGAGAGGCCAGCTTGGTCACACTTGATCAAAGCATGTGGGAAACACATCGTTTCCTTAAAGACTCGCAAGAGTGCGCGCATACTTTTTGTGACACATCATTATGCAAAACCATGTCTTTATATGATTTCGGCACACTGAATTGCGAAATTCGTACGCAACGTAAGGTTGTTTGAAGCATTCTGGCATGCGCGCGCGGCGACGCGCGCGTGTGCACTTCGTTCCGTCTGTCGCAAGGGCTCTTGCAAATTATGATCAAGGGGCGCGCGCGCGCCAAATATCATTGGACGAGGATGAGGGGAGTCGATACTGCCTTGGTTGGGATTGCATGAGTTCATTTTTGGAATGAACGATGGGCCAGAATCATATGTAAACTGCACATCCCCTGGGGGATCGATAACCCCAGTCTCGGGGGGTAGTAGATCCGATCTCTTTTAAGAAAAGAGAACCAGTTTTGACGCTCTTAGAGTTGTCAACTTCACTGCTCGCGCAATCATTCCGCCCACACACCCGCAACTTGGCTTGCAAAACCATTGCGGCGGCGACTGCAGTGACTGCTTGGCGCTCAATTGCGCATCTCTGCGGCCGCACAGGCGCGCGGATGCTCACGCGCACAACGACCAGCTAGTTTGGCGCGACCGACCCCGCGGTGGCCCTGACCGCCGGGCACTTCCCAGTGCATCTCACAGGCCGCGCTGGCGCGCAGGCACTTCAGTGCGAGCCCATGACTCAGGCGGGCGCAGTATCACAGTGACGTCGACAGAGGCAAACACGAGGATAATGGTAGCGATGATGGCCATGATGATGACGATGACGAGGGCAAGGCCAATGACGACGCCGATGCTGGTCACGCCGATGACGATGATGGTGTCCACGTGTCGGTGATGAAGATTGCGAAATGATTTCGACCTGCGCGCGCGACCGACGCGCGCGAGTGGCCCGCATAGAAGTATTTGTCAAAGATCGTACCCGCCAGCAAGCGCGCAAGGGCGCTCGAATGATTCCGACATGCGCGCCAGAGGCCCGACTGGTCGCATTTGAAGAAAAATTATGAAGCGAAGAAGTGGTCTTCCAGATAATTCACAGGAGCGCGCGCGCAAGCTCTTTTGAACAATCGATTTGCAGAGCCATGTGATGCTTGCATGCTTTCGAGAAGCTCGATCTTAAGATACTTGCGAAACCTGGGGTGCTTGAGAAATTTCGGCATGCGCGCCCGACAACGTGCGCATGTCGACGTTGTCCCGATCTGCTGCGCTCGTTTTTTGAATAAACGAGAAGGCAAATTCATGCGTAAGTTGTATTTCGCCAGGGGGTACGGAAAAAAAACCTTGGGGGGTGGGGAGAATCACAATTTCTTCTTCCAGAGGAGAACCTATGTTTTGTGCGGCGACGAGGCTGCCACGAGGCGCCGACGGCGGCAACATAGCCGCTGGCCCGGCAGGCAGGCCCAGACGACGGGCGGCATCGAGACGGCGACAGGGCGGCGACGGCGGCAACATAGCCGACCGACAGACAGGCCGAGACGACGGGCGGCGACGGGGCGGCGACGGGGCGGCGACGGCGGCAACATAGCCGCCATAGTGGCAGACAGGCCCACTTCTTACAGCAGAGGTAGAAGCCCCTAAAAGAAAGCACTGCTTGGGGAATAGAGAGGGAAAGGGAAAAAAACAGTCAGAACAAGCAACAACCAAAACAAATATAAAAATGATAAGCCAACAAACAGCGAACAGCAGAAAACGGTGAAACAGGGAAACAGCGAAACAAAAAGCAATGACTGCAGGCCCAATTGGAACAGAGCCGCCACCTGACGAATTCCAGCAGCCTCGCCTTCCGCAGCGTCAGGTCAGATGTTGTACCATCTGAGATGACATCTATATCTGCGACATCCGCTCGAGGCCCTTGTCCCTGGCATCGCCTGGTGGCTGCTGGCTTTGTCTCCACACGGTACCCAGTCAAAGAGAAGGGGCGGCTACATGCGGACATAGAATTACGTTAGTGGCCAGCTCTGGCTGCAAAAAGACACAGCGGGTGTAGCTGAGGAGGTACACGCGAATGACAGCGTAGCATCGCCAGGAGAGAAGAGGAAGAGGAGGAGGAGGACGAGGAGAGGGAGGAGGGAAAGGACGGGAGAGAGGGAGGAAGATCAGGAGGACTAGCACGTGACACGAAAGGGTTTTTTTTTGTCCCTGAGGTGCCAGGCCCGCCCTGGGGGCCCGCAAAAAGGGGGTGCGAGAGGGCCCCAGGAGACACCCGAAACAGCCGCCAACGGACACACACACACACACACACACGCACACACACACACACACCTCGGTGTACCAAGGCGGCCCTGGTACACCAGGGTGGGGGATGGGGGGGTCGATGTGCCCTCGATCTGTCACTAGAAATCCTGGAGAAACGTACCGTCGATATGCATATGGGCAGCGGCTCGCCCCTGCCAGCAATGGCAACTCGAAATCCGATCGAAATGTATCATCGAGAAGCCGGCACTGGCAAGCGAAAGCTATCAGACATGCCGATGAAGCGTCCTCTCAAAGGAGACGCATCGGCGAGTCCTGGCTTACACAGTCCTGGCTTACACTGGCCAAAAAATCCCAAGAAACAAATACCCTGGCGCGGGACCCAACCACAATTGTGTGTACCGCCAGTGTGAGAACCGCCATCGGTGGAGCTCCCGACGGAGCCGCGAAACGCGTGAAGAGAGGTGAGGTGTGTACCAAAGTGAAGGGGTGGCGGCATGCGGGCGCAGCCACTGGGGCCTTAGGTGGTGAGGGGGGTGGCGGCATGCGGGCGCAGCCTCTGAGGCCTTAGGTGTAGCTCCCCATGGGGCCACGAAACGTGCGAGGGGTGTGCCAAAATGAAGGGGTGGCGGCATGCGAGCGCAGCCACTGGGGCCTTAGGTGTAGCTCCCCATGGGGCCACGAAACGTGTCAGGTGTGTGTGTGTGTGAGTGTGTGCCAAAACGAGGGGGTGGTGGCGTGTGGGCGCAGCCACTGGGGCCTTCGGGGTAGCTCCGTGTGGGGCCACGAAACGAGTGAGGGGTGTGCCAAAATGAAGGGATGGCGGCATGTGGGCGCAACCACTGTGGCCTTAGGTGTAGCTCCCCATGTGGCCACGAAACGTGCGAGAGGTGTGGCAAAGTGTGGTGGGGGGGGGGGGCGCATACGGGCGCAGCCATTGGGGCCTCAGGTGTAGATTCCCATGGGGCTACGAAACGTGTGAGGGGCGCGCCAAAGTGCGAGGGGGGACGGGAGGAGGGAGGAGCGGGAGAAGCAGGGTGAAGAGGAGAGCAGGTGGGAGACGCGGGGCGCTGTCTCTTCAAAACGAGAGCCCAACACCACACGATGGTTGGGAAATACTGTCGACGCAAGAACAGCCGTCAGGTATGGCTACTGGCGACATTTGGAAATTCCAGAAATACCATTACATCGACTGGCTAGCATGAACTAGCACGAGCCAGCGATTGCAACAGCAGATTACGGATAATGCGCAGACTCCTGTACCCATGCGAATGCACGAACACCTTCAATAAAAGCACGGTTTCAACAATACAGCAGGAGGTAAGAGAACGGAAAGGTACGACGGGAAGGATTACTCTGTGAAACATGCTGTAAATTGACGAAGGAATAGACGGAGTCCAGTAAGAGGACAAGAACTGGTGCAAGGATTGGTACATAAGCTTCATCTGAGACGGAGACGGGTGAAAACATAAGACATGGCAGGGGACAACATACAGATGACGAAAACGTGTATACAAAAACTTACATGCTGGAAGAAGGTGCAATACATAAACTCACGAACTCACAAGCGAACCGTGAAGGTAATGCTGGACTGAAATGTGCACGACAAGGGGAGGCTGGAAAAGGGACGCCTGCCAATCACGATAATTATTGCAGGCCCGATGTAGGTCGTCAGAATGAGTGGCGCGCCAGGGAACGAAGACGCCTTGAGAAAAATCGTAACAACGAAGGCCACCGCAGCCAGCAAGAGCAAACCTCGTCCGACGAAGTGGTCGTGCGTGGAGAAGGTCAAGTACTTACCAGGCAAATGTGGCGGACAAAAAAAGTCGAGAACATAGAGGGCTATGACCACCGCGACGACAATGCAGCCGGACAGGTTTCCACACCATCTCCATTTCTGCCTCAGCGGGAAGCCAGGTGGCACAAACGGCAGGGCCAACCCTTATCAACTACAAAACACAATCGAGAAAATGGTCGCTCAAGTCGGGATCTACGCACAGAGAAAGGCAGGGGAACATAAAGAACAAGACATTGGGAATGACAGTGACAGTAAGACCAGAGTGAGAACGAATGGGGCTGCTACGAAGACCGGCGCTGATATTGAAAAGTAAAAAGAAGGGGAGAGAAAGACAGAGAAAGAGGTACATATGTATAGAGAGAGAGAGAGAAAAGAAAAGAAAAATCAAAGAGAGAGGGAGACAGAGAAACAAAATGCGGGAGTGGGGGCACGAGCGGGTGCGCGCGCAAGTGTCAGTTAGAATGAAAGCGGGAACGGGGATGGGAGTGGGAGTCAAGACGGATAGATCGAACGAGTCAGCGGGCCACGTCTACTCCTACCACCCAGCGATTAAGACATACAAGGTTCGGTATCGGCAGAACTGGAAATTGTGACTGTCGTCTGCCCCCACTCGGCGAATGGAAGGCGATCGCTTGCACGCGGCCCCACTCAGGATTCGTGTGTGTTGTGCTTCTGGTCGTACGCGTGCCCCCTTGAAGCCAGGCAGAGTCGGGTGCTGTTCCTCTCGGCCACCTACGCCTCTGCGTGCCTGGCTCCGCCGTCGCCACATCTGTCGCGAGTCACCCCACATTCGAAGACAAGGCGGACACGGACACAAGGAGGAGGAGGAGGAGGAGGAGGAGGAAAAGGAGGAGGAGGAGATGGAGGAGGAGCGAGCGAGCCGCAGGAGAGGCGTCCGAGTGACGAACACCAACCGCGTGTGAGACCTGAGAGCCACAGGGGTGGCGGAAAGGCGGAAGCCTGGGAGAGGGTGGGGCGCCTCAGGAAAACCACACCCTAAAACCTCCCAGGGTCCAAAGAGCAACACTAGGGGGCAGGGTTCGGGCCAGAACGCGCCGCACCTGCCCCTCGCTGGCGGGGCTCCAAGCCACGGGTGATTCGGTCGATCGCCGTGTGCTGGTTCGCCCGTGTCTTTGGATTATCCGAAAACCCTTGGCACAACGCCCGCAGCTTGCGGGCGGACCTGAAGGACTCGGACCCGTTGAAATTGCCCCCGCACTTGCGGCAGCAATAAACGGAATTAACACAGAAAACGTCATGCCCCAATTCAGCGAATTCGGCAAGCACTGGTTGGGGAGCGTCGGCCGAGCCACTGGCAGCATACACCTGCTCCAGCGGCTGAGGAGGGACCGCGCCAAGCCCCGAGGAGGCCTCCAGAGGCCCAGACGTGGACCCCAACATCCTATCGGCCGCCTCGATGGCAGCCGTGACCCTAGAGTCCGAAACACTAAGCCACGCCTCAGAACCCCGCAGGAAGAAGTCCTCGGCAAGGCTCTGGACCAGAGGCGAGGGAGCACACACCCGATCAGCTCCCGAGCGAAGAGTATGGAGGGTACTCGCACTTCGAGCGACTCGATTGCACCGTCGACACCGATACTCAGACAACCTCTGGCAGAAAAGCAACTCGTGGTCCTGGGGCCTCTCGAAGACCACACGCTTGGGCACCTGGGCAAGCTCTGGGTCACGCTCCACGATAGGATCCGCTCCCCACTTCCGAAACTGAACCACCTGGAAGGCCGCCCAAGACACATAGTGCAAGACCTGCTTGTGCTGCTTCAGCGCAGCGGCTAAACTATCAGCCATTGTTTTAGACACCATGTGTGCAGCACTGCCGCACTTCGCGAAGAAGTCGGCCCAGGCATTGCCGACGAAGGCCTCCAGCTCGTCTGGCGTGGCCGACTCGATGATGTCCTCCAGCTTCCTGTGAGCTGGAGTCCACTGAAACCGCACTGGTGGCAGACGTGGATCGCGTGCTCTGGCAGCCGAAAAAATGTCTCTCCAGACTCGGGCGTGCTTCGCTTTGCCAAACTCGAGCTTCTGGTCCCAGGACGTGCCCTCCTCCACGAGCGATTTCAAATCCGAAAAGAAAACCTCATGCCCTGGATGCTTCTGAAGTCCCATCTTGATGGCATAGCGCTCAGCACGGCCTGCCGTCTGCACATAGTAGGGCAAGGGGCCATATACAGCTCTGGCGGGAGCCACGTGACGGGGTCCAACTGGCAGACCGACCAACCACACCTACGTACTTCAGGAATGCTGGCCGGGAACCCCGAACCATCAGTATAGGATGTAGGCCCCCAGGAGCCTGAGACATCTCCCCACTCAAAAACCTCATTGGAGACCGTAGTGTAGTGCGGCATAGCCACAGGCTCAGGAACCCCATAGATCAGGTATCTCTGGTCCCAGTCGGTGCACCCCAGCAGCTGCCCAGACGCCTGAAGCATGTCACGAACCTCCTGAAGCTGTTCTGGAAACTCATAATACTCCTGGTCGGGGTCCCCTTCGAAGAGCGGCGGGCAGTCGTAAAATATATGACCCCAACAGGAGTCGATAGCCTTGCCACAGGCCTGACAAGGCCCAATGGGCCTCCCATGCTTCATGTCCCGACGCGGTGGGATGGGAAGATTGTCAGCCCACAAAGCCTGCAGCGCTCCGAGGCGCCTGTGACACTTTATCTTGGCGAGCGAGTGCCGTAGCGCACGATGCCACACATCCGCCTGCTCGGTGTAAAAATGCTGCTGCAACCTATGGTGCTGCCAGCGCTGGATGCCCTGATGCAGGAACACTCGCAGGTCTGCTGGACATATACGATATAAGTCAAAACTATTTCCCAAATCGTCGACCAGGATGTGCTCTGACGACATAGTCCAGGAGATGCGCCTCAAAGTAAGCCAAGTGGCCCCGAGGGGCCCTCGCGCCTTAGACCAGGAAGGTGAACTCTCAAACTTAGCACCCAGACATACCCAAGCCTCCCGAAGTCTGCTAGGTTGCACACGCCCGTCCCAGATCCAGGAGGCGTATTTGAGCACAATGTCCGCGGTGGCGTTATATATGGGGTCATAGCATTCATCCCGATGAGATATAAGATACGCTGTTACCCCAACCATCGTCTTACCTGGGGCACCATTTAGGACCGCAGCACAATGTCGCAACTCACGAAGGGCGCTGTCACTAACTCCAGCAACTGCACCGCCATGCGCCACTGATGGAAGGGCGCCCGTGCGCCACAGGCTGGTAGCACTTCGCCCCACGGCGGACTTCAACATGCGAAAACGATGCTTGCGCTCACGAAACTGCACCAGCCTACGCTTCTCCATATGCCGAAGAACTCGAGGTCCTGTGAGCTCGTGTCCCAGATTCCTCATGTGGGCCCTGTACGGGATCTTCAAGGTTCCCAGGTGCCTCTTGAGCTGCCCCCAAACCTTTTGGGCCCCAGGGATACATCCAGACTTCGGCGGCTTCAGGACCATCCCGAGATCTCCTGCATCAGCCGTGAACGCCTTGGCCGCTCGGGCCAGGTTGGACACCTCCCTCAATACGGGCGACACGTACTGCAGGCCCACATCGTACATGAGCGTGCGTGGCGTGATAGTAGGTGCAATACTGGCCGTGCGCTGGACCGCTCGGTACGTGAGGAGATATAAAAGATACGTGGCGTGCGCGCAGCCCGCAAGAATACCCTGATGGGCCACCAAGGGCCTGGATACGGACCCAAAACACTTGATCCTTCTCGGCTGGCGGTAGGAACCCAGGAGCAACCACAGGAGCCTCAGCGGGTACCCGAGCTCTCTGGCTTCTCGGAGAAAGTGCACTGTGACTGACCATATCGAAGCACTTGGTCATGTCCAAGAGAATGGTGCATGTGTGCTCACCTAAAAGTTCTCCTATCTCCTGGCTCAGGTTGTGGTCGAAGGCTGAATCGGTCGAAGTCTGCCCAGCCCTGGACCCCCACATATGTTCGCAACTGTGCGCCTCTTGCCACTCCGATGAAAGCGGCCGACGAAGCTTTCCCCACAACCTGACGAAAGTATTGCTGAGGACGATCAACCTAGTGTCCCCGTCAGGCTTGGGCAGGCGAACAAGCTCGCTGTAGAGCCTGTCCGTAGGCCAGGCCAGCCAACTCTCAAACTGCATGAACATGTCAGCCAGGCTCTGCAAGGCCTGGTCGGACAGCACATCGAGCGTGCGTGGCGCGATCCTCGTCTGGCCCGAGGCCGTCTTCAATGGAAAGCTTCTGATGGCTCCACGCACCTGCGACGCAGACAAAGGCGGAAGCAAAGGCCACTGAGCATGATCGACAGGCAGCGGCAGAGGGCATGCACCGTGGTACGTCCAAACGTCCCTCCACTTGTCGAGCGTACGGTCAGCCATCTGGCATGGCTGAGCGTCAGGGGAGTAGGCGAGCACCTCCTGTCGAGCCCGAACCTTGGAGGACGAATGCGCCCGATATGCTCCTCCCAAGAAGGCTTCGTTGGCCCACTGCCGCCCAGCCCTCTCCGACGCTCTTTGCGCCGTTCTCAAATGATAATCAGCTCTGGCAATGATGGCATTGGCTACGTCCTCAAAGTCAGCCTCGACCAAGCCAGTCAGCCCTCGCCGAAAGAAACCTGCGAAGGCAGCATCCAAAACACACAGCACCTGCACTGACCGAGCCACACGTCCATAAAAGGCAGCCACTTCATTGAAGGCCACGACGACCTTGGTGTACTGCAGCGGCGTGATGGCGCAAACGGCGGCACACAGCTTGAGGCGCTCGATGTACCTCACAAGCCGCTTCTTCTCGGCCACGAGGTGCTGGGCCCAGCGCTTCGCCGTGGCCCAGGCCAGCACAGTCGGCCCCTTGTAGGTACGCCTGCGCGGCGGCTGCCATGACAGGTGCTGCCACTTGAACTGCGGCGGCCCCTCGCGTCCGATGCACTGCATGGCCTTAGCGCCCACGCAGTCGTAACGCCCTGCCAGCTCGTAGTCCACCCCTCGCAGCACAGAGTCCCAGAGCGAGCTCAGGTCGTCGACACTGCTGACCCGTTGGAACTCTGTCTGGAGCATATGCCACGGGTAGGGACGCCTGGCACAGCCAACTGGCGGCACCACCGCAAAGGGTCG